ATATATATGTATAAACATAGTCAAAAGTATATGGAGAGAATAGACTCTCCATCTTCCAACAAAATTAATGTTTTATTATTAAACTCGAAGCATTTTGGCAAACGGGACGGCATTTTCTATCCTTCCTTTTCTCAAGTATATGCTGCATGTGGCCCCTTTCCAATTTATTTTTCATATAGATATATGAATTATTTTATTCTCTTTTGTGACAAAATATGTATACATAATTAATGTGAACCATTTATTAAGGAAGATTTGGTTTAAAGTAGGAAATCCGTTTGAAATTTTTACATACTGATTACATGCATTGCATAATGTGTATAATGACAAGTTAAGTTTATTCAATTACATCTCACAGACAAGTAAGCACATTGTGTGTTATGTTCATATAAAACAATATAATATAATAGAGTTCTATTTATATATACACATAATATAATTTAGTTAAATCTAACGTAATATAAATACATCTCATGTGCTTTCCTGGCATCGAGCAATTTGTTACAGATATATATCGTTAGAGATCGAGTGTGTTCTATCTATCTATACAATACACACAAACGCATCTCCTGCAATCTTACACTGTACAAGTAAATTTATATTTAGGTGAAATTAAATAAGACAATACTTTTAAATAACATACTTCGGGGCGTTTCGTTAAACGTGGAAAAAAATACCACTTTGCGCATTTTAAAATTTACACGAGCGAAATAAAACACTGAGGAAATTATCCGATCGCGATCGATGTAATATAATGTAAAAAGTCGTGCCGTAGAAAGAGCTAATTTTATTGCTCTTTGTAAAACCGTCTCCTTAAAAAATATATGCTCTTCCACGGTCGGTGATCGGTAGTTTCCGATAAAAAGATTTCCACGAGGATACAAGCAAGTGAAAATATATATACCTATATTTATCATATATATATATATATATATATATTGCTAATATATCTCGAGTTAGCTGCTCTAAACATTCTATGCTTACACTATCATCATTAGTCTACACCACAACCACTGTAGACTTAGCAAACTTGTACTTTTTTTCAATTCATTACTCTCCGTTTTTATAAGCTTATGATCAAAGAAAGAATATTTTGCACAGAGAGATACGTTTGTGGAGAAGGAGGAGGGGGTTACTTTTCCAACAACGGCCAAAAAAAAAAAAAACAAAGCGACTTATATATAGATTTAAAAATATAGGCACACTCGCGCGAATCGCATAATGTATATCGGTTGATATATCGGATGTATATATTTTTTACTTTGTAATTTCCTAATGCGTTCTCTTTCGCGATAGGGAAATCCGTACGAGTTCTGATCGATGTAATACCGTGTAATATGATATACTTAATAATAACATTTAAGGATTTCTTTCCCTGCTTGTATACCGTAACGTTTTTCTCTTTCTTTATCTCGCGAATGGCACGGGTATATGATAGTTTGCCTCTCTTAAGCTCGTAAACTGTTCATTGTAATCATTTGTGCATGCGAATAATTTGTTTGCGAATGTGAAAATATATATGATACGAAACGTGTCTCGTAATAAACGCAACAAGAGTATCCGTCCAAAGTGATCATTGGCAAGTGACAAATTGGATAATTGTATATATTTATACTGCCTCTCGTAGTAATCTAACAGTAATCACTATCAAGTATGAAATAATCGCAAAACGAGCGTTTGTATTCTCGATAGAACGGGGGAGTGAAGGAAGAAGGCCCGATTGTGCTGAGTGTCGTTTTGTAAGTAACCGCTCTATCCTGATTTCTTCCCTCTCTTTCATTTTCAAGACACTGTGCAGGAATTGCGACCGACGCAACTTGTACGAGAATCGGTAATGCTGCCGGGCGAACTGCCGGGCGTCGACAATCCGTTGTTGTGACCCACCCCGACGAAGCGCAGCTTCCGATGATGCGATCCCAGACTCTTGCTGGAACTTGACGAACGGTTGCCGTTATAACGTAACTGGGTCGTGGTTGTCATCGCGTACGACTTCAAGTGCGACTTGATCGACTTGGGCAACGGTAATTGGTCGATACCGTAAACCGTTGTTCGAGCCACTATCGCGCGACATGCCAATTCTTGCAGGCTGAGCACTGTAAATATTCAAATTATATCTTTTCTTGTAAAAAATGTCTTGTCAATCCAGAAGGGGATTTCAAATTGATTGCTATATAAGATACCTTTATTCGATCGCCATAATCTTTCCATGCCATTCCTATGCAACGCCATGCGAGAGAGTTCTGAGAAGCTTTCGCGAATATTGAAGTCGCAGAGAGGCGAGACTTCGAAAAATGCCATTCGATTTTTAGCTGCGTAAGTCTCTGCATCTCGTTCCCCCACTTGTCTCTTGAAAGCCAAGTGTAGACGATTGCCAACCAATACTTTTGGTACTCCAGGCGCATGCTATAATTTTAAGTCGATCAAGATACATCCCTGTCCAACTCTTGTTATATATAATAATATATAATTGGAACATTGTAGATTTTGTCGCTAACCTCTTCCACTTCTTTCAGCCACCTATCGATGCCATCAAAGGACCATTTGTTGGTAATATCGTACACCAAGAGTATACCCTGAGCACCTCTAGAGTAAGACCGAATGATTGTGCAGAATCTACCTTGGCCTGATGTATCCCATAGCTGCAGCTTTACTCGTTTCCCATCCAGTAGAATAGTGGTAGTTTTGTAAGCTGAAAAGGTAATAAATAATAAGTCCAAATTAACTAATCTCAAACAAATTTCATTAAAGAAATATCGTAGAAAAAGGCACAGCCATTATACGATTACTTTATACAAGTCTCTCTTTTTTCTCGATTCAATATATTAATTTGTCAAATGCCCAGGAGAGACGCAGCAAGTAAAGAAAGAACTCCAAGAGATAGACAACGTACCGCTGCCACTGCAGAACGGCGACTCCGCGGCGCCGTCCTCGAGGCCGCTCAAGATCTCCTGCTTGCCGACATCGCTGTCGCCCACCAAGAGAAACTTGAGCAGATAGTCGTACTGTTTCTCTTGACGAGGCTTCGCCGTGCTGGCCTCACCTGCAGCCATAATATCCGCCTGTCGTACACCCTGAGCATACTGCAGGTGACCCACGGAGCGACGCTCGCCCACCTGCCGCTGTTAGGTTTCTCCCCGTATTCGCGAACGGAATCCACCACCTTGACGCCGACCACCTCGACGAGCGTTCCTCGGTGAAAGCTATCGCATCGTATCGCGATTTGCAGAATCGTCGCGTAGACACTCTCATCTAGGATCCCGGTCGGAACGATCGAGATCGCGCTTTTCCTGCCCGCTCTTGTCCGCCCTCTCCCTTTCGTTGGCGATATAGACACTCTACGCCGTCGATTGCGACACGAATCATAACAAAACAAAACTGTGTGACTCCACACTTTCTCCGCTCTCCGCTGTTTTCGCGCTTATCCCTGCCACCGATGCTCTCTCTCCCCTGCACCCTGCACCCTGCACCCTGCACGATATCTCGCCTCGCAAGGTGCGCGAAATTTCCGAAGGTCGAGTGTGTTCGATATCGCGCCGGGCGATTCTTTAGTAGCCTTTTCGAGTGAACGAATTTTGATCTATCCCGGATCAATTAATTACTATTTTACTATTAAGTATGTTCTTTTTTAGATTATAGGAACTTCAGATATATAAAATAGAAAAAAAGAGAAGAAAAATAAACGAGATAAACAGCTGATGATAAAAAGAACACATTCAATCGACTATTCGGAATTTCGACGGTGATTGGTCAATCTCTCTGTGAATATTTATTACGCGACCATGCAAGTAGTGGTAGAGTTATATTGTAAATGGGATAAGAAAAATAGTAGAATCTGATTGGTTATGTCAAACTTTGGCATATATGGCACTTATCATCTTATCGATTGAAATGCAATTGATTGTTATCGGTACGTGTGACTATCCTGCTTAATTTTTTTTATATATAATTGAAGTAAATTAATTTAAATCTATTTCATAGAAAGATGAAAAGATGAAGTAATTATATGAAAGGAACAGATTTCTAATGATGGATTCTTCGATCGTATCTTCAACGAAATTACAAATCGCGGCAGAAGAGTTTTATTTTCATACCGCGGTTATCATTTTCGCGACGCAATTGGCATTTTTGATTTTGAAAACGATCGTATATCGAGAAGAGGACGCGATGAAATTGAAAGAATGGCGCAATGCCGCGATTTCACTGCCGTGTTCAAACGAGCCGCCGATTCACGGTCGCCGCGTCACGTGGTGACCACCCACATTTCGGATTGTGGGTAAACAAGAAGAGAAGAAAATATTTCTGCGCGCGTATCGTCATCGTGGAGCATTTGTCGGTCCTCCTTCATCCTCATCATCATCGTCGTCGCCGTCATTAACGATCGTCGCGATCGTCCCGTTAAATCAAGAGGAAGCGGAAGAAAACGATATTATACGAAATCTCACGATCGCCGAGACGGGAAGAAACTCGGAGAGAAGGTGCTTAAAAAGTCTACCCTACCGCTTTATAAGTTATTAGAGGAAGATTACGCGCGCGTAACGTCGTAACCAGGCGCCCAGGGTGTATGTGTATAGTGTGTGTGTGTGTGTGTGTGTGTTTGGTGTGTGTGTGTGTGCGTGAGGAGGCCGTATATTGGTCGCCAACGCGCGCGCGCGCGCGAGCGAGCGAGCGAGCGAGCGCGAACGCACGCACCACGCACGCACGCACTCCGCTCCGAGTCGTCCCCGCCGCTCCGAGTGAGGAGAAGAGACGTACGGTGTGCCGGGACGGTGCGGAGGAAGGAGAGTTCGAGAAATAGCCGGCCATATTTCGCGCGAGTGCTTTACTCGCGTGCACATACGCAAAGTCGCGCCGTACGTGTTTCGCCTCGCGTGTCGCCTCGTCTCTATCTCTCTCTCTCTCTCGTCCCGCCTCTAGAGAGCATCTTTATCTCTTGGCGCTCCGATTTTTTTCTTTCCCTCTTGTTTTTTTCCCCCCTCGCGCACGTCTCGCTCCCCCTCCCGTCACTAACTCACTCTGTGTCACATACTCTCTCTCTCTCTCTCTTTCTCTCTGCACGTCTCTCTTTATCTGTCTCGTGTCTCATTTTTGTCATCTAATCCTACATATACCGTAAAGAAAGTCTGTATTCCTGTTTACCGGTCTATCTCGCGGTCTCGTTCTCCACATCTCTTCGCGTATCTATTTATCTAATATCTGATATATCCGGCCGAACGTTCGTCGAGATTTATCTTTCAATCTCGAGTCTCGAGCCGCTATCTATCCATCGTTCCGTCTCGCTTCTCTGTCTCTCTCGCGCATTACATACATACATATATATATATATACACACAGACACACACACACATACACACACACACACTCTCTTACTCTCTGCTGTCTTCCTCTCCTTCTCTCGTGCTGCTCTTAACTACACTACGGCACATTCGCTCTCGGTGCTATGTCTACGTACTCTCGTACCCAGGAGAGCGACGCGTGGGCTCTTCTGGCATTGAAGTCGGCACCGGCCAGCCCGACGAAGATGCAGTGGAATCCGGAGTCGAAGGGCGCGCCGATAGCGCGGCTCGAGGGCCGCGAGTTCGAGTACATGGTTAGGCAACGGCGTATCACGATCGGCCGTAACAGCAGCAAGGGTGAGGTCGACGTCAACATGGGCCACTCCAGCTTTATCTCGCGAAAGCACCTTGAAATTTACTACGAGCATCCGTTCTTCTACATGGTGTGCAACGGCAAGAACGGCGTGTTTGTCGACGGGGTGTTTCAGCGCAAAGGCGCATCTCCCTTTCAGCTACCAAAGACGTAAGTATCTCGAAATATTTGTTTATTTACGCGCGCCCGGCGACGATCCCGTTGCTTTCTTTCACATCATTTCTCACCACAGTCAGCATCATAAATATAATTTATGGCTTCGCTGTAAATTGTTTTCGCTATTATTGCTTTTAGGTATCCTTTTTTGGAGTACCTGCGAAGGATATAAATTGTACATTTTTTTGCACTACAATAGGATTGAGAAAAAAACATCATAATATCCTAAAATAACCATTATCCCAGGACAAATTAAAAAATTTAGTCAGAAAAGATAGTAAAGCGTCATAAGCGTAAAAGGATATTATAAACCTAGGACCTTAATCGTAAAAGATAATTAGATAGAAAAGTATGAGTGATAAATGATTCAATGGTCATTTTTGTAACATCAATTTTTACCTAAGCGTAATTGAACGGAAGAATTCAAGAAAGATTATTGTTAGTAAATAACAAATAAATATTGATAAATAATTCTAGAACATCGTAATGTAATCTCATGTATTTGTTTAAGTAATAAGCTGCTCTTATAATTTCTTTTCATTATGAATGTTTAATTAATATGATGTAATAGCACTCTTATTTTATAATTAATATTATCTTTCATGATGTTTCGCAGATGTACATTCAGATTTCCAAGTACAACGATAAGGCTGATTTTTCAGTCGCTTATAGACGAACAGGAGCAAAGTAATATTCGCGTGCCCTCCCCGCCAAAACAAAGGGCACCTTTACCGCCACTGCGGATAAATATACCGGATGCCGGATATAGCAGTCCGTTCCCATCGCCCACGGGAACAATTAGCGCCGCCAACTCCTGTCCAGCGAGTCCACGCGCCGGCCAGGGTAGGAGAAACATTTCGGCGGATCTGCAGATGGTTGCAGCGTACGCTGCTGCTGTGGCGAACGATCCGCAAAATTCCACCTTGGACAGGCACAACTTGGAGAGGCATGAAGGCGGACAGAGTTCCAGCAGGCAGATTAGCCCTGAGCCTGGTGCCGAGGCGCGTTACCGAGGCGGAAATAATTCGGGACCGAACGGTACCACGCCGCACTACAGCCCACCTAAGGACGATTCAAAGCCGCCATATTCCTACGCGCAATTGATTGTTCAGGCGATAGCGTCGGCGTTAGATAAGCAGCTCACATTGTCGGGCATTTATTCTTACATCACCAAGAACTATCCGTACTACAGGACCGCGGATAAGGGCTGGCAGAATTCTATTCGGCACAATCTATCTTTGAATCGTTATTTCATCAAGGTACCCAGAAGCCAGGAGGAGCCGGGTAAAGGTTCTTTCTGGAAAATAGATCCTCAGTCGGAGGCCAAGCTCATCGATCAGGCCTTCAGACGGAGACGACAACGTGGCGTACCTTGTTTCCGTGCGCCCTTTGGAACGTTATCATCGAGGTAATGTCGAAGCAAATTTTTACTTTATCACGAATATCGATAGCCCATCTGAATTGTCATGTGTGATTAGTAGGAGTGCGCCGGCTTCGCCATCTCACGTAGGGATTAGTGGTTTGATGACGCCGGAATGTCTAAGCAGAGAGGCTTCCCCAGGACCCGAATCGTATCCGGACAGTTCTGTCCCCTCTCCGGCTGGACAACTCGCGACGAGTCAATCGGCGCCTGGTTCGCCCGGTCATCCATATACGTCGTCCCAGTCGACTCATAAGGGACGTCTGATGCAAACGATTGTAACAAACGGCGTTAGCGGTGATACTGGAAGAGAAGGTAAGGAATTTTCCTCTCTTTCTCTTTATTTAAATAAGATGCTTTCCTTATCGTTTTTCTTGAGAGAATGTATATATATATATATATATATATATTAATATATCAACGTTTTTTTCAAAATAGAAAAATATTTGGTGCCTGGACCAAACGTTGTAGAGGACCATTCTTTATCACCGGCTGGCCAATACAGTCCGGCTCCTGTTATTGTACAAACGACGTATAATTACAGGTATGCTCATAGATTACACATTACAAATCTATCATTTCTGCTGTAATTAATGCGATTTGATCAATGATCGCCATTTACATTCTCGTGTGAATTCTCTGTCTGCAACAGTGGAAATTTTATCGGCCCCGATGCTGGCGTCGGGGGGGTTAGCAAACGTGCCCACGAAGAGTCGGACAGCTCGCCGGGTTCACCGGCCCCGCTTGCGATTGTCGAGAGTCCCGAGCCGCCCGAACAGCAGCCATCGCAATCCAAACGTCAACGTATTCACGAGATGGACGATCATTGAACTGATACATACACTTAGCATCCTGTTACGTAGAACATTACATTTACATTGCATTATTTGTCTCTATCGTCGAACACATATTGCAAACTTCATATTGTTTTAATTGCATAACCGCTTTAGACTGCACATAATCAAGATTGAGCGTCAGTTCTATTATCTCGTTAAGAACAACGAGAAACTGTTGTGTGTATGAGTTCGCAGAAGAAATACCGATCTTTGAAAGAAAGAATGACGAGAGCAGAAGACACTTTTCCTGTCCTTCTAGAATTCATGTTTCGACATGATTCTCTCATCAACAGTCAATGTATATAAGATATACATATACTTTATTAAATGCTTTCTCTTTATGACTTGTTAACTTCGGCTGAAGATATAGTATATATATGTATATGGAGCTTATTTGATTGAAAAAGTCATTCAAAATAGTAACTGCAGCCGATACTGCGCTGATACATAAAATTGCAATAATGTGATGCGGTAACGTGTGCCATTCAGCGTTTAGCCGATTTATTAAATAGACAAAGAGAAAAAAATGAAAATGTTACCCAATGTAATTCAATCAAGTTAAAGCGCGACATATTTACGATTATAAATTCGTTGATCAACATTCATTTTATACTCGCGTGATTTTTGTTGCACTACCGCTTGCATCAACTTGGCGTCGTTATCGCAATTAACGAAGATTAATAATAATAATGCAAAATGATATAGAAGAAAAGAGAGAAATAGATTATTATTACAATTATTATTAAACAGCATTCTTAATTTATGATATGCTCAATTGAATGTTCCATCTGAAGGCGAGATAATAAGTCACAATTTTGACAAGACTAGAGAGATATTTCTTTTAAAAAATCACATTATATATCGCGAGTAATGAGAAAAATCTGATAAAGGATAATTTAGCGAACAAGCATTTAGAAAACAATGAGCTTTTGATGATATAGTCTCTGCTCTAGAGATTGTTACCAGAGTCAGAGAAGAAACAAAAAAAATTATAGAGCCTTATAATATTTTACATTTAATCAGTGTAAGGACGCGGTTTCACGCGGTGTAGTGGAACCAACTCGAGCTGGTCGAGCGGCTACACATACACAAGCATATATTATATAAATACAAAAATTTCCAGGGAATCTCTACATAAACACATACATGTCGGAAGATTTTTAATTTCGCTGAAGATTCCCCCGGATTATCTGTCATCCCGAGTTTCCGCTTGAATGAGGCGATTTTGCTTTACATCGCGGGATCGTTCACCTAATTCTATCATCTAAAACAGTCTTCTTATTTTTAACGTTAGAAGAGGAACTGTTTCAGATAAAAAAGGGGTAAAATTAAAGCTGGAGAAAGTTTTGTAAAATATGCGTGTTGGAGAAGAAAGGCTAATTGTCAAAGATAATGTCATCATGCCAAACTCTGGATTATACAAAGTTCTCTCGCGATCAGGGGATTTACTTTTTCTCGTGCAATCGTAGTTAATTAACTCGCCAATCTCCCTAAGAGGGTTGGCGTTAGAAAACAATGCATAGCATTAAATTTACATAGGCGGAGAAAAGCAGTATTGGATGCAATTGTGTTATGAAAAATTGCGTGGTGGTGTAATCAAATAAAATTTATTTTTTTCGCACCTTCCGCGCGCGCGCGTGTATATGACGTTTATCTGAAACGTTATTTTTCTATAGTTGGAAATATACGAGCACAACTACAAGGAGGTTTTGGATGATACTGGTAGATGGACTACGCTGTTGTACAGCGTTGACACATACGTATCTACCAAAAGCAAAACGTATGTTTCATTATACATATACGTACACATACGTGTGTGAATATATACATATATATATATATATATATATGCATATGATGTCGCGAATAAGATCAATATGTTTACAGCACGTGCGTGTTACATAACATACATACATTTTCGTTCGATGTCATACGCATGTATGTGTGCATATGTATAATATCGCAATAAAATTAATACTATATTATAAATCTTTTTATTCTATTGCATGTGATTTTTTTGTGTATTTTCCCTATGTATCTTTATATATGTATGTGCTCTTTCATTAGTAAAAAAAAAAATAATATTCTAATTTAGGTACACTATGGTGTATCTCGCGTCGATAAGGCTATTCATCGAGATATCGAGGTTACATGGAAAATTGAGCTCACATTAAAATTAAATCAATGTGTATTTTTCTAATTTAAATTATAAATTCAATTAGTCAAATGCACTTCCCTAAATTAAACTTTTCTATTCTTGACAATTCCCTATTCTCAAACAGCATTCAGAATAGAGGGTTTGCCTGGTTAAAAGCTCGCGTTATTATGGCCGACTACATATGGCACTATGAATACAATTCTTGTTTCCCGCAATTCATCGCAACAGTTAATTAATAATCGTTTGAAGGAGTATTTCGATCATGGATCCAGAACGGAACGACAATAATATTTACGATCTCGTAACGCAGTTGATCGAACATACGGTGCGAAAGAATTTGTTTGAGAATGGAAATTTCTATATGCCACCGAGGAACGATATTAAGATAGTGAAACGTTTACGTTCAAGAACTTATGAAATATTATTAAACAAGAGTAAAAAAATATACAGCCAAGGTATATATATATATATATATATATATATTTTCAGTGAGACTTTATATTAATGCAATAAAATACGGTAGAAACTCTTGCAAATGATAACACTTTATCATTGCAGAAAATGTAATCAATTCTGAAACTGATCCCTTGGTGGAGATATTAAAGTATGCCTTTGTACTCAAACTGTCCCTCAGACGTATGTCAGAAGCAGAAAAGCTGGAAAATTTAGTAAACGAATTGTACATTAACACGGTTAATATAGAAACTGTGCTTCCAATTTTAAGATTGCTGATAGAACTTAAAAATTTTCAGGCTGATACAGGCACTGTACTGGTACTTGTTTTATTGTCAATTATTCAATTGATTATCAATTTACTGAAATCTCCAAAATTTATTAAAGCTAATACAGATATAATTTTGTACTCTATACAGAATGTATTTCACTATGGTAAAACCAATCCTTATTTGCCTGAAGACATTACGTCCACAAATGGTGTACCAATGTTTCAAACATATCCCATGGAATCCTTTATCTTGCCAGAGAAGTTTGAGGCCATGTTGGGCATTCGTAAAACTTCTACTAGGCCAAACAAACATGAATTGACTAATTTTGTTAGTAGAGTATCCTTTGAAAATCAACATATATCAAAAACTGTACTAGGAATCGGAACAATTAGGTATGATGCTATATTTCCTTCATATCTGTTTAGAACTTTTCTGTATAGATATGATTTTAGGTATAATAATGCTATTGAAATGGCTCCTTGCATATCGAGTTGTACTGAGAGTACAGTAAAACAAAATAATATATTTACTCCCTTTTCCACAAGCATTATGGTAAGACCTTATGTATGTAATGCCAACTTCCATATATATTTTTTTATACACAAGCTTTTTTTATATATGAATTGAACTTTTTTATCAGGTTGAACAAACAAATATGCTATATTCGTCTACACAAAGATTTATATCGAATGTAACTTTACCTTGCGAATGGATAAAATCTGTAGATTTTCAAAATGAAAATAATTTGTGTGTTATGCATGCGTCGGATAATTGCAATTTTATGGATGAATCGGAACATGTTAGAAACATTAATCTAATATGGAAAGATGTACACATTTCCAATGATCATATCTCAAAATTACGAACGTGGGAATCTTTCGGAGCTTCAGAGTCTTCCAAACAATTACTATTTGTTACTGATTTGCCAGAGACAATGCTGCACTTGGCGAGGATAAGAGAAACAAGTATTTTATCAGTACTACCAAAAAAGGTAAATATATAACAATACCTTTACAAATATATTGTATAAAAAGTTGTGCTTTTTATGTTACAGGCAATGCATTCCATATCCCTTATGCAAGAAATTTCCTTCAAAAAATTTATATCAGATGTTAAATTGTTGTTATTTGGCATAGATTCAGATTCTTTTAAGTATAATACTGTGGTACGTAATTAATTTTGCTGATGCAATTATGTGTGTGCTTTGTTTAGTATATTATTTTTCATATTTTGTAATAATATTATTATTTCGTATTTTAGATAGGATTTAAATTGGAGGAAAATATTAGTGTGCATGGTATAAGCTCGGATACATTGAAGATTACTTGCCAAGAAGCGATTTGTTGGGGCAATAGTTTCAAGTCCCTATTACTTCTTGTCACGCCTGATCCACAAACGGGCAAGTTACAACAGGATGGTCTTATATTCAAAGTACACATATTTCTCTCTCTTCTATACCATATATAACTTATTTTTTAATTACACACTAAATTTACAATTGGTGTAGGCGATGTGTGCCAATGTCAAAGAGCTGCTCTTATATTATCGGTCGGCGTTGCAAAGAGTTCTCAACCAATATGAATTTGACGGATTGTTAAGCCTCTTGAAAAAGATTCGTCCACTGGCACTCTTAATTGTTGAGGTTGCAAGACTGTGCGATCACTGCAATCACAGTCAATGCAACTTAGCCAACGGAATTTTAACGCACATTTATAAAGAAGTGACCAAAGTCACTAATCCAAAGGTTGCGTTAGTGTTTTACTCTATATTAAAGTCGTGCTGCGAAGTCTATTTTCGGTAAGAAATAATGTATTGATATTTTATTCTTCGCAAATAGCCAAAAATAACGTTGCGTCAAACTTTTTATAGATTGCTGCAAAACTGGTTATTCGAAGGAACATGCGACGATGTTTATGGAGAATTTATGATTCAGTCTCGATCTCATAATCTACGAAAGAGAGGACGTAAATTTTGGACGGACAGCTTTACAATCGATACCGAATCAATACCCGGTTTTTTATCCAAACTATCAGAGCCGATATTGCAATGCGGGAAGACGCTGCGACTTTTAAAAATTTGTAACCCAAAGGTTATCAACTTTTGTTGTACCAAAGCTTGTTTTTTTTCAATCGTGAACATATAAAAAGACTTTCCAATATCTATGCCACTTTAGAATCCTGTATGCATTGTGTCTTTCAATGCTCCACCGGAAGTAAGGGTTTGTCTGAGTGTGTCCATGCTGCGAGAACAGATGCTAAGATGTCAGGAATATAAGCGTGAAGGTGAAGCGGCATTGGGACCAATTGTATCTCTTCTGTCCGCGATTCAAGATGAAAAGAAAACCGAGAGGGAAACAGCTGAACTAGTGATACGCGCGCAACAGGAAACGTTATCGAGGCTGAATAGTAATATTTTTGTTTAGTTTTTAGTTTTAATCATACATGTTTTTTAAATTCAAAATACATATATTTAACAATTTTTTGCAATATTCTTTTTAGAAGAACGTGAAGAACTTGTCGCGAAGGCAGCGCAACGTAAACGAGAGTTATTGCAAGAATTGAAACACCAGGCAGAAGAGAGTGTTTTGTTTAAAGAAAAGAAAAAGGAGTTGGAAATGCTAGCTGATAAATTATTGCTCGAAAAACTTGATCGAGAGCAGGAAGAAATACGAGAGCAACAACAGGTCGAGCGGTAAGATTCAACAAATCTTGAATGAAAATTATTGGAGAATGGTATCTATAAGTTTGAATTAAAAATAATTGTAACATTATTCACATTGTTTTTTTATTATGTTACAGTAAACATCTTACAAATTACTATGACAAATTGACCACTGACCTAGAGAGCAATCGTATACGATCAAATTGGCGGAAGGTGAGAATGAGTCATTTCGAAAGACGCGTGGAACATTTGAAATCTACAAGAAAACTCGATAGAGAAATACCGGAAAGTATCGCCACACTAAATTCGGATGAAAAAATAATTAATACTGACGAACAAAATAAAAATATTCCTATTCCATCCAGCATGGGCGTGTCTACATCTGAAGTGGAAGTTGTGTCTAATCAAGATGAAAATAGTAACTTTTCAGAAAATAAAATATTGGATATAGCGACAATAGATGTTTCTAATCAGGACGATATTAAGGAAAATTTATCAGTTGCCAGTATTGTGAGCTCTGATATCTCATCTAGCAATACCAATAAGGATATTGTATCGGATGAGAAAATTACAAGTAAGGATTCTCTTACGACAGTGGACATACAGAACAAACATTTACCGCAAGAATCTTTACATATCTACAAGAGAAACAACGAAAAGAGCAGTCTGCAGGATTTTCTACGTGATGAAGCAATGAAGAATATTCGTACGATTATAAACGATAAACAAATGGCTGCAGTTGATACTCGTTTAAATAATATCTTGGAAAACGACGACATTACTGAGAAATTGGTTGGTACTATTAATAGGCCTAAATCCTTAGCTATTGAAAGGATAGATAATATGAGCATGGCACAAACCAACAAACTTAAAGTATTGTTGCAAGAATACGGTATGACTCCGAATAATAATGAGCTCAGTGCGATACTCACAGATAAACAAGGTAACGTTAATTGTACAAATATAAACTGCAATAACGAAGTCACTAATGAGCAAAGTTTAGGCAATACGAAGGAAAATGGGAATAATAATGTCTCTCCAACATCCGATATCAAATTGCCGGAAGAAGAAATGAAGATTACGAACAGGCCTATAAATAATGAAGAACGTTCAAATAAGATTAATGATGCAAATTTTAAAGAGCAAGATCCGATATTAAATAATTTGCAACGACAAAATAACATAGATACGCCAATGTCATGGACGACTGACAATTTTACCACATTATCGACACATACTCCTCTGTCGCAGATACCAAACAGTGATGATATATTCGCTCTAAACGTCGGTCAAGAATCATCTTTATCTGACATGACAAAGTCAATTATGACGGAGGGGACATACTTTGAATCTCCGATGAGTGGTAATTTTAAATTGCCGAATCTGTTTGGCATTATTGGTCCCGATGTAAAATCATCGTCGGCCTCATCGTCGTCTCTAACTATAGCCGATGTCGAGATGATCGATCATACCTCGCTCCAGGTATATTTAGAAAAATCCATCATCATTCCTTTGCAGATACAAACTCGGCTGGTTAACAACGCGATTATCAAATATCTAGTGAACGAATGCAACATGCTTTCGCATTTGCACAGTCTACGCAGTTACTTTTTTCTATTGAACGGCGAATTCGCAAAGAGTCTAACGGACTCGCTTTACTCTCGCCTTTACACAATATCCGAGCCGATCGAACTCTTCAATTCTGCCACTCTTACGAATCTCTTGGAAAAGGCGCTAATGAATTCATTCAGTAATAATTACGCTAATTCGGAACTCTTGAGTCTTTCCGCTATCGATCAACCGTGCCAGTTATATGTAAGTATAACTTTTTGAGAGATAGTTTTTAATTGTCATTATGATACTTGCCCGATATCTAATATTTTTTTATTGCAGATCTCAGATCCAAATGTTTTGGAATGTCTTTGCCTAAACTATAAAATAGCATGGCCGTTGAATATTATCTTGGACGATACGATGATGTTGCAATATAGCAAAGTGTTTAAATTCCTAATAACGACTGGTAGAATGTCGTGGGTATTGCAGGAGGACTTTAATATAATGAAGTTAGAACGTAACGTAGTCAACTCGGAGCAATATCACAAGGTAAATCATTAATTAATTGCTACTAGATATGAAGGAAATATTAAGAAATGATTTTCTCATTTTGTTCGTTTGTGCATAGTTGCAATTGTACAGACATTCCATGACCCAATTCACGAATGCTCTTCACAATTATTTAACGTGTAGCGTGTTGCACGCAAGTTGGAGCGAATTCGAAAAGGATTTACAGAATTCTCGGACGATAGATCAGATCTATCTCTCGCACGTAAACTACATTAAAAGAATACTTTCGAGGTAATTATTTTCGATGGTTATAAGTGAAATAAAACTAGTAAAACTGAACATTTATCAATTTTTCAGATGCATGCTTCACACGCGCGGAGAAAAGATGCGCGTGTGCTTAATCAATATCTTTAAGATCATACTAAAGTTTCACAATCGCTTAAGATCGCAAGCTTGGAGGATCGATAGTGATAATACAAGCCGATACAGTCATCCGAATTTCAAAAGTTTGGAGCAGATGTATCGATCGTTTTGCGAATGGCGGACATATATGGCGCACGTCGCGCACAAATTTTCCACCAGTGGATATCAGCCGCACCTGACGCATTTTCTTAACGCTTTAAATATAAATCATATGTATGATTTAACGGCAAAACAATAGTACATAAAAATTCGTTCTCACTTCTGTTTTCTTTTACAATCGATATATCGAGTGTAAAAAGATATAGGTAATTATATACAAGTCATATCTCGATCTATTAAAAATAATTTAATTTTCGAAAATATTCTCTTTTATATATTTATTTATTTAGTAAAAGAATCGATAGTTTGTTAAAAAACAATTAATTCTTGCGCTTACACGGATACCGATGATACATTCGTTATGTCGAGTACCTTAATGCAGCGGCTGCAAAGACCGTTTTTGTCTGTTTCGGGATGCCTTCTACACCTTTGGCAGAGCATTTTCTTCGTATTATGTAATTCGATCTGTGTTTCGTTTACCATAGATGATTCTAACAACGTAATCGACGAGAGTTGTAAAATATCGCAAAATTCCGACGTGGAAGATTCTCGATCTTTTTGAAGTACCTATGAATAAAGAGAGGGAGAGAGAGAGAGAGAGATACGCGATTTATAATAATTATGATTAATATAATTATTAATTATTTATTAATAATTATATTTATTATTATCTTAATAAATATAATTATTTATTATTATTATTTATAAACAAAACCTATTGCAAAAGAAATAGAGAGTAACTCTTACCGAAAAGGATTCATAATCAGTCGGTGTAGCTGTTATAGTACCCGATAATTCCCACGTGTTACGATCAGCTAATGTGTTGACTTTGCCTCTCAAGCTTAACGCTTTCTCTACATGCTTAGCGATCTCCGGTTGATGCCAAGTTTCCGGTACCTTATATTCAGTATGATACAATGGCACCGATGCTGTGTAAATGATACGTGGACGATAAAAATATGCGGAAAGAGCGCATTTTCTCGCTAAATTGCTTACCTAAATTTTCAGGATGATAAAGCCACACTTCTTCCGCCAAATGCGGAACAATTGGCGCGATAGATCTCGCAAGTACAGTTAAGGTCCCACGCGTTACTTCTATTGCGGACAGACGCGTCGGGGATCCCACTTCGTCGCAGTAAAGTCTGTCCTTAATTAAGTGACAGTACACTGGCGATACTGTATTCGTCAGAAAATTTGTTATCAGTTTACATACGTGGTGATATAAAAAATTTTCGTACAAGCTTTGAATCTGTGAAATAATTAATGTATCATGGATAACATGTAAATTACTTTTTTTTTCATCTTTGCCTTTTAAGCATAATTACCTCTTTGTTGTATCGATGTAGAGCATGTAACATATACTTGTCAAGGTAAAGATATTCCGGTTCGACTGTGATTCCATCGCTATAGGAATGTAAAACGCCCAACAGAAAGCGTAAGATCAAACGTAATTTTTGTATAGATTCGTGACTTTCGCGCAACAACGTTGTCGTGACTGGAACTTGACTATGTTGACACCCATGGCTAGCTACCCACCATCTGTTGATTTATTTTTCGTTAATTTTAAATATCTTATTTCTGTCCACATACAGATTCGGATTTGCCACAAACGAATAGTTTTATTGAGAGAATAATTGACCTTAAAGTATCGACGCCATACGCTGGATGTTTATTCAAGTTTTCTCCACCTTTAGTAATTACTTCAGGATTTATGACGTTTCCAACTGATTTCGACATTTTCGAGGCTTTATCATCCACAGCGAATCCGTGCACGAACAGCGCGCTTTGAAATAATATAGGTAAATATGTATCTTTGTGAAATTTTTAAATAGATGCTTCACATTTTTCATGTTACATAAACTACCTATAAGGAGAACGTTCTTGAAGAGCGATGGATGTTAGTAACGATGACTGAAACCAACCGCGAAATTGATCCATTCCTTCTAAATATAAATCCGCTTTATATTCCGGCAAAACGGCCGACCATGAAAGACCGCTATCCAACCAAATATCCATGATATCCTTAATAGAAAATATAATTGTGTATTTTGCAGTCATGCATTACTAACATTCGACACTATTAATGAAGAGATCCTCGATTGTACGTACCGTTCCTTTCTCCAGGTCATCTATATTGTTTAATTCTTGCCGTAGGTCACGACCAATTAATTTTTCGATCGATAGCTCCCACCAATAGTCGGGACCATAGCGTTCCATCAATTTGCACAATCTGTCGACCCATTTTCTGCACACAATACAAAACAATATGTATAAGTCTATTCTTGTACCACGTATCAATCATGTATGATATAGTTAGTTACCTGCTTGTATATATATCATTAGTTTGTTTATTATATAATATCGGTATCGGCGTTCCCCAAGACCGTTGTCGGGAGATGCACCAATACGGTCGTTGTTTAACTTGAGCGAGTAATGCATTCAAGTATGACGTATGATTTTGCTCCGGATATATTCTTATATTCGCGATGCTGTCCTTGCGTTAAAAAAGAATGTATATATAAGCACATGAGTGACGAATATGTAGTAATGCATCCCTATGTTTCAGAAAAACTCGATTGACTTACAATTGCAATTTCTTTAATAGATTTTATGTCTATGAACCATTGATGACTTGCGCGAATGATTACAGGTTTCTTAGTTCGCCAATCATATGGGTAGCTGTGTGTAATCGTATCGGTATGCAACACATCTTCACCAATGTGATGTAAGATCTTATTAGTGCCATCGGTTAAGACGTCTAAACCGGCGAATTCATCACCCGTTTCTCTGATGAAACATCCATCGTCATCTACCAGAGATGACTGTAACATTAACGGCGTTAAATTGAATGCGATTCGAATAAAATTTCACTGAAATAAATGAAAATTAATCACACATATTGCGATTGGCAAAAGAGATTGACTTACCACTGGTATATTATTTTCAATTGCGATGAGAAAGTCCTCTGGACCATGTGCGGGAGCTGTATGAACCAATCCAGTACCGACATTGGTCGTAACGTGTTGTCCAGGTAAAAATGGTAAACGTTCTTTAGTAATGGGGTGAAAATACTTAGCTTCACCCAATTCTTGTCCTATTGAGAAATTATTTTTCAGTTATAATACATTTATAAACATAAAATACATTACAAGTAATCAAATGTGTTACCTTTGATGGTTGTAATTAATTTTAATGGACCAAGCTTCTGCTCGATATTTGTTAAGCATTCTTGCGCAAGAATATATAGATTTTTTGAATTATCCTCTACAATACAATATACAATGTTATTGGAGAAAGCTATAGCTTGATTAGCTATCAATGACCATGGTGTTGTAGTCCAGATTAAGGCATAAAGCGGTTTATTCTCCAAATTCTTTAATTTCGAGGATAATGCAGACGTGTCAAGTTGCATACGAATAATAACACTTTTGCTTTTGTGAGACTCATTGTATTCCAGTTCTGATTCTGCTAATGCTGTTCTATGATTATATCGAGAAGAAAAAAATATTCGTAAATTAATGATATTAGAAAGATTTCTTTAGAATTGATCTATATATTAATATCTTGATAATCTATAAAGTACCTAGAGGACGGTGACCAGTGCACTGGTTTGAAGGCTCTGAACACAAGTCCTTTGTCATACAAATTTATAAACTGTTGCAGCTGGTTCTTTACATACGAAGCATGATTTGTGAAATAACATCCCGATTCATTCCAGTCAGCCATAACACCCCACGATATAAAAGCTTCTCTCTGCTTCGTTATAGCTTCGCTCACATATTTCCTAGCTACAACATAGAAATTTTAGGAGAATATAATGTTGGCAATATTTATATTTCAACATACCTTTTTGACGAATTTCTAATGGATTGACATCCTTTATATTACTAAGTACTTTTTGCTCAATTGGTAAACCGTGACAGTCCCAACCTGGGACATAATGCACCCTTCTACCTGTTATAATTTTATTTCGTAGTGTAATATCCTTAAGGACCTAAGCAAATAATAATAATTAACTTATTCTAAATATTTTTCTTCTCAGTACAGTAAAAAAAAATTGCATTTTATACAGTTTTATGTAAACCTTATTAATGGCATGACCCATATGTGGCTCCCCATTAGCATATGGTGGACCGTCGTGCAAAATAAAATCTGGCCCTTTAAGATTTTTCCTCTGCCAATTATATAACTCCAGAAAACCACATTTCTATATTGAAAAAATACAGAATTTTTATAACACATATATATTATTATTAATTTGTATAATTCAATATTAATAACTGTAAAGTTTATATTATTCGCAGATTATTCAATCCTTATTGAGCTATGTGAATAACATTACAGAGTATAGGATATTTACAAGATACATATTATAATTACAACTGATTTACATTTCCTCTGTTTTTTTTTTTTTTTTTATAGAGAAATACAAACATTTTAATTCAAAAATTGAATTTTGAAAAAAAAAAAAATTTCAAAACTGTATGCAAAGACAATAAACTCACTTCTATTAAATAGCTATCCATCTCCACTCTTTTCTTGCCGCTGAGTCGTGCCGGAAAATTAGTTTGCGGCAACAGCACGGTTTTTGTGTAACTTTGTTTCGTATCGCTTTTTATGCCTCTTAGCCACAATGTGTAGCATAGTTTTGCATAAGTTTGAAATGTAGATTTGAACAATTGTCCCATTTTTGCGTTAAATATGGACATTGAGTAAATAGAAACAATATTTCGTTACCCTATTCTAACCTTAATCTTTTCGCGAGTCTAGTCCGCCATTTTTAAATGCCAAAATTCTGTCATTCTATGCGCACGTGCGATACATCGTTTAACTATCGATATCATATGTTTGAGATTTTGACATTTCTTTCGATGTCTATCAATACATTTTACGTATTTACATGTTTTAGCGCGCCTTTAATAAACTTTAAAGAAATCTTTTTTTTTAATATCATACAGTATATTGATACTTTATTATGGCACGCCGTTTTACTTTTTAATAACATAAAAACTATTCCATTCAATATAAAAGTTTCAAAAAAAAATTAAGAATAATTAGTCTTAAGAAAAATTGAGATTCTTATTAATGAATTAAAATTATGTCGGCACATAATAAAAATTCAGAATTAATTTTATGTCCAGACATAATTTTAATTCATAGAATTATTATTATGTCGCGACATAATTTTAATTTTAATTTTATTAAATAGAATAGTTTTTATGTTATTAAAAAGTAAAACGGTGTGTCATACTTTATAGAGTGACAAAGTTTTAAGGAATCAGTTTAGAATATAAAGTTTCAGCTTAACTGAAAAAATTTTATTTCATTTTTTCTATATATTTTCTCAACGCGTCAAGTAAGTTTCTATTTATCAAAGAAACAAATATATAATTAAAGATAATCCTTCTAACAGCTTTGCAAACAGTTTGTCATTATTTTTTTAATGCATTTGTATATCTGCGTCTGATACCATGTGGAATTAAATTTCTCGTTTTTTTTTTTTTTTTTTTTTTTTATTTTTTTTTTTTTTTTTTCATGATTCAGTAATTTGTGAATTAATTCTCGAAAATCGGAGTTATTTGAAATAGGAAATCGATTTCTAAAAAAATCTAAAGAAGGTTTTTTTTTTATAGATTTCTCGAAGAAGAGATAAGTGATACACCATTCTATCTATATTTATTCTTGCATAATGATACATCGGATTCAGAAAGTGTATGTTAACGATTCTTTATTTTTTATTAAAAGCTTTGCGATTAAAGTAGACTTGATGTTGTGGATGCAGCTGTTTAATCTTTTATTTATGTGACAGTGAACTTTGTACGTTTCTCAGATAATCCGTCTGCAAAATAATAATGATTTTGCAGAGGAATTATCTGAGAAAAATACAGGCAGAACAATCAAATACCCATTAATAATCTGTTATTACGCGAGTTATACAACGCAATTATAATTTCTCGTGCCTTTATTTAATCGGCGGTAGGAGTCGCGGTCGGGTGTAAATTCGGGCGAAAGAGATTTCTCTTGATTTTCAGCGGGTGTCCGGCAATTAAGCACGCGCGCCAGGCCGAGCTGACGCGACACGGACAATAGATGAGCCGGGCGGGTAGCCTTAATTAAATGGTAAAGGCGGCCGATTAGTTGGCAAACTCGCGATAGTGAAAATTTATTATACCCAATGTACCCCGCGGGATCTACGCGCTCTACCTTCTTCCGCAAATATTCCCCCATCCTCCCCGCCGCGACCACGACTAGCAAACCCGGGAGTTGGTTTGTCGCGCATAAATCCTGCCGCTCTCCAGATGGGATACACGCCGTTGCACGACGATCAGATAGACGCTGTAATGTAATTATACGCCTCGGAAGCAGGCATGCCGGCCGATACTCATTTTCACGGGATTACACCGTCGTAGTCGACCGGATCGTTGCGCCCCAACAAAGCGTAATTTTCTATTATTCCGTATAAAAGGGGCGCGCGTACCCATGCATGCCCTTGGATTTTGCGAGAGACGATTCTATCGAAAATAAATCACACGATGTATGTATATGTGTGTGTGTGTGTGTGTGTGTGTATATAAAAGAAATTATTTTTTTACGAAAAAAAAGAAAATGGGAGGATAGCGGGTGGGGAGGAGGAAGGAGAATACGACGACTATCGATGGAAAAAAATAAAATTACTACAATTATGAATTTAATTCGAAACATTATTGTTCTGTCGGATGTCGAGAAAAGGATGTTGCTGGCCGGTGCATCGGCCGAGGGAAGAACCAAGATCAATTCGCGCGCACTTTGCGCAGACAGCTGATTACCCGCATCCTGATTATCGAACCTAACCAGGGAACACACAAGCCTGCCCACTGCAAACAGATCCGTCCATGTTCGCGTCGTGTTGGCCGAAACCTGGTCTATGGACCGCAGAAAGCTTCGCCGTTCTACATTAATTTAAATTCAATTTTCTCGAATTTGTCGATAGATATCCAATCGCTGCTACATCGAACTCTACGATTATACGCGAACAATAAAAGAGGGGGCGGGGGAGGGAGGGAGGGGAATAGAAGAGTGATATATTGGCATATTTCGACGTATATATTCCGGTGCACCTCGATGAATTTGGCTGTTCTACTCCGGCATGCTTGGCGTTCTCCGCGTTACTCTGGTTTACTCCAACATATTCTTTCTCTTTCTCTCTCTCTCTCTCTCTCTCTCTCTACGACGTAATCAATATATCGTGTTGCTGAGACCTTCCCGCGTCGTCGGCAGAGTAGGTTTAGGCATGGCTTTTCAGGCGTAGCCAGACAGACGCGGTAATTCAGGCTAGATATGTATCGCGCGCCCATATACACATGCGAGCACACCGCGGATATCTCCGTGCTAATTAATATCTCGGACAGTATCTCCTGCATCGCGAGAGATGCTGCTGCTGCTGCTGCTGGTGGTGCTGCTTAACGTCGTCGGCTGTTTAACGCGAGGTCGAACGCAATCGATCCAATCGCCAGTGTTTTTAATAGATGCTCGAGGCTGCTCTGTCCTAATAAAAACATTCCTTACGCGGGATGTCTACGCGTAAATTTTGATATCCACCTGTTAACTGCATAATTTTTTGGTCAATTTGAATCAGATTCAAGAAAATTCAGAAAAAATATTTCGAGAGAGAAATTATCGAATTATCTCTCTGTAAAAATTTGTTTCAAAGTAAAATTTTATTAAATAATTCTATTAAAGTGAAATTTTCCTTTAAAGCTTAGTTTGCCATTTTCTTAATCATTGATTTTCGACATTTCTATCGAGGAAAAGATCATTTTAAATTAATCAAAATTTCTCTAATAAAAAAAATATTTAATATATTTCTTATACCTTGTACGTAAAAAAATACATACGTAGCAAAGCGGATTGTTTATATATTCGGGAAATTATTGAGTCTACTCTATCTCGTACAAATTCATTATCGTGTTTTATATGCGATAAGCTCGTTAAGCTTAATAAATAAAGCAAAACAGACGAAGGGATAATGAAAGAAATATCTAATAAAAATTAGAATATCTCTATTTAGTAAAAAAGTTAATTTATCTATTAATAATTCCTTTAATCTATCATTCATTAGCGCATTTACTATCATCACTCGTTAATTTTATTTAAATATCCCGAGAAATTCCTACAGAGAAAAAGATTTTACTCTTCATGCCGAAATTCATGAGAAATTTCTTTATAGAAATCAAAGTGGTTTCGAAAGGATTTTTTGCGAGATTCTTGATTTGATATTTAAACGTCCGTGCAAACCTGAAAAAAAACTTTCCGCTCCCTTTTCTTCTCTCTTTTTTTAATAGCCACTAATTATCCTTTTAGAAAAATTGTCGCTCGAAATCACCGTTTTCAACTCATTCGTTTGCTTCCCGTGGACGTTCTCGCCGATTGCGGCTGGATACGATCGCGACGAGATAGTTTGCAATTGATCAGTCCATAAATGACGCCCGTTTTGCCTCACTCGTGAGGCATCGGGCATCTTAATTATACGGCCGGTTTGCGGTGGACACGCGAGAAAGCGTCTCTGTTTTCCCGTCGCAATAAATTGTCCCCGTAATTGCTCCGCAGCTTTCGGAAAAGTCGAGCTTCATCGTAAATCTATAGTTTACTCTTTGACCAAATCCATCTTTTTCCTGCAGCGATTATATCTCTCAAGACCAATTTGGAACGATCGACGATGGGATCGGGCCATTATCTATGTCGAGCATCATCTAAAAACGAGAAAAAGCTATGAGTGACGTTTAATTAAATGCTTTCAGTTGCATTGTAAATATTGCATGTGATATTGCATTGTGATATTGATTTTTGAGAAAATTTATTTTATACTTTTTCGAATGTAAAATGAAACATTCACGAGGTAAGATCGATTTTAATGTTTATATATATATATATAAATTTAGAATTTCACGCATTTCTCATAAATTAATAATGTAACTGTTCGTAAAAGTAAGGAAAATGAGGTCGCCGCGTAAATGGTGCGCGTTGTAATAAATTTCCAATAATTGGATTAATAATTGCCATAAAATTATTATATACGTTACAATGACATGAGCATTTATTTAATTATCATCAGAAAACCACGAGGAGAGATATAATCATTACTTTTATTATCGGCAAATTAGTGGATAATCCTATTTAGGTGCTTGATGCTAGAAATTGACGGACTTTATTAGATTATAACAATGTACGATTCCATTTATGGAGAACTTTTCTCCGATTTTCGGACAGATTACAGTAGGGCTTATTGTTCCTCTTTTACCTTCTCCTTCCCCCCTTCTCCCCCTCACCCTGGTCTCGGTATTCGTATCCGGAGGCGCTCCATTATCAGTTTTTCGTGCGTTATACTCGGTACCTTAATTACCTTCCCTTACATCCGCGGCTTATTACGTTCCCCGTAGTATAACGCGGTTCGTAATCCCGTTTGCCGTAGACTTAGCGTAGTATCGTCCAAATTACGGTGCATGGCACACGCTAGTAGGCGACCTCGTTGGATTGTACCGCGGCTTCTCCCGTCCCGGCTACAACCGGAATGGACCGTAAATAAGACTGGTTTAAGTTATGGCAGTTACCTCTCGCGTTACCTCGGTTAAGTTTATTTCAACGCTTGATTAATGTAGAACCCCGACACGTCACAGTCGCAGCTGCCCTCTCGAAGACGACCTTCTGTCGGGGAATAAGAACGGGTGATCGCGAAAGCCGTTTGGGGGGCTGTAATTTCGTCGGAGTTTGATTGCGACGTGTCGGGGTGAGGAGGGGGGAACGATCTCGCGATGTTTATTCGCGCGAGGTACGGTTTTGTCGTGTCTACAATCTGGAAAATTGAACTCGTCGACATTGTACGCGGAATTCGGTTTCGGTAAGCTAGAAGCGAGATAAACGGAGGAACCCTCCCCCCGGCAAAACTCTCGCACACGGGATAACCCGCCCCTTCCCCGTTCACCATCCCTCTCTCGTCGTAAATCGATACGTCAGGTGTGAATTGCGACGCGTCGCAGCGTCGTGGCGGTGGCGGCTTTTATTTTTAATATAGGGGCTGTTTGCATGCGTGTTCACGGAGCGGAAGCGCTAAATTCGCGCGATAAGCACGCTATGCGCGTTAACACGCCTATCGATTGCCCTGACCGAAGGGAGAAAGACGGTCGTAAGCGGTAAGATAAAAAAAAAAAAAAAAAAAAAAAAAAAAAAAAAAGAAAAAACGAGGCGACAACAAAAGTCGGCAGAAGGGTCGGAATAACGCAGAAGGACGCAGGGCAGAGCAATAGGTGCAATAGGTCATCGCAAGAGGGGTGGGAAAAGGGGGGGAGGGAAGGCAAATAGGGGAGCAGGGGGACAAAAGCGGTTCAATGAAAGTCATCGTAAACGGTAGGAGAGCGAAGAGCGAAACGGGGCACAGAGGGATCGGAGAAAGAGAGAGAGAGCGAAAGAGAGAGAGAGGGAGGACGGGAGAGTAGAAAGAGCGTTCCGCCATGCCGATGTCGCGGGAGAAAGATAGCGAGAAAGAGAACGCCAGAGAGCTTGCGCAAGCTTCGACCCGCCGCAGCTCCGATCGGCGGACGTTAAGCCGTCAGCCACACGTTTCGAGCTTTCGTTCCGACCAGCAGTCGACTCGCAGCCTGGCTTGCAGCCTGACTGAAGCACGGCGGTGCTTTCTTTTTCGTACCCGTGCGTATCATCTCGTCTCTCTCTCTCTCTCTCTCTCTCTTCCTTTTCTTCCCTTCGCGCGGTTCCTCTCTTCACCTCCCTCACTTCCGTTCGGCCGCTCTTTGATCTCTCCGAGAGTTTCGATTCCACGCACCGTGTTATGACGCGCTAATGATCTACGCGCTGCTTCCAGCAGCAGCGACGACGATGCTCGTGCCGGACTGAAATCGACGCCTCTTAATAGTGGCTGCTGGTCCACCTTTCGGGGAATAATCCCCCGAGTCGCGCGAGCAGCATCCTCGGACGGGACGTTTGTCGGCTCTATGTGCGCCAGTGCGCAGTCAAGAATCGCGGAGGGAACTGTGCCAGGCAACGTCGTGGTCGATACGTGGTCGAGGATGATGACGATGATATAAATCTGGCTCTCGCAAGGATTCGCTCGAAGGGACCCTTACGATCCTCCCTGGAAATCCTCGCTTGATCCGATGAGGGAGAAGATGGCATACTCGATGGGACCCGCGTGGAGGATACCGCGTCGGTGATTTCGATCGGCAGCTCGAGGATCTAGCTATCTCGCGAAGAGAGATCGGTAGCCAGGGAGCATGTTGTGGTAAAGGTGCGTGGTGGAAAGTGCATGTTCCATTAATCGGGGTTAATAGCAAGATTATCCTCTTTATTTATTCTAATACCGAGAAAATGATTTTCATTGTTCCATGTAAAACGATTTAACTAAGATTATCCTTAAGAAGAAATTGTATTATTTTATTATTTCAACTTTGAAACTTCTCGATGCTGTTTCTCCCTCGAGTTACATGGATATATCACGTCAGGTATAATAATTAATATAATAATTAATTCTACAAAAATTGAATATTTTAATATCAAGTAATTTTTGTCCTTTACGTCGATAAGAGAATGTTATGTTAGAAAAAAAAAAAAAAAAAAAAACAGAAAGCTTCCGAATTCTTACTGAATTTATGTATGTATTACTGTTGCTGCAATCGCGATTAAATCGTGCGAAAATCGCGTGCTCGTCGAGTATGCGTCCCGCGCATCCGAACGTTTTTTTCGGTCCCGGGACAGTAATACGAAATAATCACGGTCGTCGGGGGCGAAATATCGGCAAATTGGAAATCGTCGTTGCTTGTTTAACTCCCGCGAAACGCGCGTCCGGAATACACGCGCGTAATCAACGCGCGATCTAAATTGCTGATGCGCTAACCGAGCGCAGTTTATTTGACATTTTTGGCACGCGTCTGCCCTTATTCGATTCGCGTACGCCGGCGGAATCTGAAAATTCATAAAATCTTTCGCGACCTTGGCCCTTTGAAAGCCGATACTATTCATAATCCGGCGAAAGATTTATCAATATTTTAGATCTTTGTGTTGAGAAAGCGATCTCTGAATTGTTAAGGATGTTATATATGTTCATATATATGTATCGGAAAAAAATATTGAATTCTCGAGAGACGAGACAATGAATAGAACGCAAGAATGCAAAAGGAGATGAGCGAGAGAGAAGGTTGGAGGCGGGGGGAAAAAAGGAGGAGGAGGAGGAAAGTGTCGGTGAATGAAAAGGGAGAGCATAGCGGGAAAGGGAGAGAAAATTCCGGAGGTGAAGTACTCTGTTGTCGATAGTACAGTCAACGCGGATTTAACCAATTATCACCCCGCTCTCTCGACACGAACGTACGAACGAGATCCTTCCGGCATATGCTCGACCCATCTAGCAAACCATGCGGTGTCCCTTATTGTCCTTTGGGGAAATGATAACGCGTTGCGCCCGTACTTGCGCCTGTATTTCATCAAGCGCAACTCATGTTATAGAGATATTACTCTCGGGAAGCGGACAGCGTAATCGCGCGCGTGCAAAATATGAGAAATTTTTTCGCCTTCGAAATGATTTGGAATATAATTTCCTTTTTAGAGCAACCGAGCCACAAATTTTTATGGAAATGATCGAACAATATCTAAAATAGAAAACTTGAATCAAACATCTTTTCTCGATTTATTTTAATGATAATACGATAGATCTTTTTTCTGCCGCAACAAAAAAGAGGGTGTACACATATTCCTTCTCGTATAAAACGATATGTCCTTTTAAAAAATTTGTGCGAATATTTAATTGCATTCTTTTTCCAATGCGAGACACGAAATGACATAGAAATAATTAACCAACGATATATATTTTATTATATATAAGAACGAACTTTTCCGTACGCGTGTGTGCATAGGTAGTTTTCGACGGGGGAAGCAAATGGAGATAAGAGGAGAAGTAGCGGAGGTATTTTGACAGCCTCGGCACTTGTCCCGGGAATGCTTCGAATGCCTGTGCCGGTACTCCTCGGTAGCTGGGGCTGGGGATTTTTCGCCATATTCCTCCTGCTTCTGGCCACCCCCAGTCCCGCTGCCATTCGCAGAGGTAAGTCTAATCCGGAGGCTTGTGAGAGACCGGGGAATATAATACCGACGAGTTCAAATTTCCAGGCCAGCGGGAAAGACCGACCCTCTATATTTATTCCTGGCAAACGCAATCCGACACCGCGATCATTTCCAGTGGCCTTAATAATTTATTTTTATCCGACGAGAGTAATCACCTATTTTTCAACCATTTTATGTAAATTATGCGGCTCATTTTGAAAACATTCGAGCTACAGATAAAAAAGAAAAAGAAGCGATAAAAAAAAATATTTTCTCTCATGTTACATGTACAGCTATATTGTCGCGATTTTCTCGATTGACACGCTTTATCTTTTCGTATCTATACCATATGATACAAGCGTACGGTAGTATAGTTGTCGAGGATAATCCTCTGCAGTTATTCCGCTTTCAATCTCTAATTCGATCTAGCGGATTAAAATCAGTCTCGTTGCCACACGGGAAAGTTTCATTTAGAGCGAGTGGTATCAATTCCTATCTCGAAAGACTTAGGCGAGCACTCGAATCCGATGATGCGCGGTTTAATGAAGACTCATCTCTCATCCCGGCAGTTACTTATCCCCGAGTTACCAGCAATTATCGCAAGCCCGTCGCGCGGTTAATAAATCGAATTATCGGCGTAACAACTCGGTCTCGAATCTCAATCGTTGCGCATTAGAGGAGAATTTACTTGTCCTGGATATTGGCGGTGGTCGCGCGAACGAAGGGTTGATACTTTGTGGAAGGGTGATTTACGAACGGGAGGTAGCCCGGCTATACGTAACACGAGACTACCTCTTTATAAGAGGTATCTAGCGAGCGGGTCGAATATCGATTACATGGCCGAAACTTGTGTCGCGCGTTGTCGTTCCTTACTCTCCGCCGCGTCCTCTTTATCGTCCCTTCCAAGTTGTCCCCCTGTGTCCCGTTCAATCGGGTCAACGAAAAATATCACGGTTCTAATACAGCGAATATAGGGTATCTTACGTTTTCGCGACGTTAGACTTAATAGAAAGAAAATTCTTCGACCAACTCTAATTTTTTTTCTTCGTAAAAATATCGCGAGAGATTATCTTATTTACCACTGTTTTTTTTTTTTTTTTAATTCGCCTCGCGAGAAATTTTTTTTTTTTCCCCTTTTTTTTTTTTTTTTTTTTTTTTTTTTTTTTAATTTCTCACGATAAAAGAAAGTCTCTCCCCATTTGAGATTAATCAAAGAATATATTTTTTTCCGAAAGTTCAATTTTAATGTTTGCGAAAATATTCTTTATGTATACTCTAATTATTGAATGATATTTCTCATTATAATGAATTAAAATATAATAGATAAAAAAATTATCGCTTATAATTAGATTAATTAACATTGAGATTAAGATACACTCTAATGCGCGAGATGCGAAGGAGAGGGCACACGTAGCCCTTCTTTCTCGCTCTAACCGCTTGCATTTCAGCGGACCGAGGCCACTGCAATAAAACGGTGGACATTTACGAGGATGTGTCGAGTCCGGCGGTGACCCCAGCGAATTGGGGTAAGCCCCTATCGTGCTGGTACCGCTTCCGTGCCTTTCGCGGGACGCCCCGAGACTGGATTCTGCGAGTACGTTTCAAGAAGTTTAAGGTCGGGGTGCTGGAGAACGCCACCACGTGCAGCGGCGGTTATCTGCAGGTGAGCGGATCCCTCGTTGTCTAAGGAGGGTGAGAGACACCTAAGATCCTAATTTCAGGATGACACGCCCGAATGGTGCAGCCGAACTCGTCTTTCTCTCTCTCTCTCTCCCTCTCTCCCTCTCTCGATCCGCGTTTCTATTAATTGAATAGGGAGAATCCAGCCAATTAGCCGGACGTTGGAATTTAATTTCGGTTCGACAATAGCGTTCCCCGATTATTCTTTCGATTCGAGTTGGATACGACGTAGCCGGGAAGAGACGGGGAGATGCTGATGATGCTCGTGTCTCTTTGCATCGCGTCGCGAATCAATGCGTGCAAATACAGCGGGATCCGCATACAATACGACGGAAACGGATATCAAATCCATGAGTTACGCAATCGCGGTCACGATAGATGATAGATCGAATGCTGAAATTGATTACGCTTGATGTGTCATCGAATCCGTTTTATCACTGACCGAAGAGTATAGGTCTATTTACGTTAAAATAAATTAAACACGAGCGCGTGCTCCATATCTACGGGAAACGAAATACAATACAAAAAGACAAAATTCATCGATTAATATATAGACTTATCAACATTTTTCATCTTTTCTTAAATTTCTGTAGCGTCGATTTAATAAATTGATTAAATAAAATTTGAGATTTAATTACTTTGAAATAAAAAAGAATTCTCTCGGGTATAAAATCTCATCGTGTCATCTCATAAAGTTCTTTTATTTTAAAGATAAACGATAAACCGAAGACATTTTGCAGATATCGACGAGATAATTTACGAGTTTGTTACGTTGTAGTCTTATAAGAGGATACACAACACGGATCTCGGATTTGTGTTAAGACCGTTGCGAATTATCGGCGGCGGATATCCTCCTAGATTTAGTTTCTGCGTTGGGACAGGTGCAGAGCCGTATCAACATCGCGAATTAGAACATTCCCGTATAGAGGGACGAACGTGATAAGTGATTCCCTCCCCTTTCTCCGTTGCCCTCTACCTGCCTCTTTCGAGGGCGCGCGGGCGCACTCGTCCTGCTGCCACCTCTCTCAGTTACTTCGGTATCAGGTATTGATCTTTGTGACGCTGTAAACCTCTCTCTTCTTCCCTCCTTTCTCTCTTTCTCTCTTTCTCTCTCTCTCTTCCTCTTTCTGCCTCTCTCTATTCTCCTCCGTATTTTCCCTCCGTTTCTTTCGCGACTTTCAAATTTGCATCGATAAAAAAGATGAAAAGTCAATAGTAAGATACGTTTCTCTTTGCACAAGGTTGTAAGCTTCGAAACGCGAAAGCGAAGCGTGCATCTTTACAGACCGATTATTTTCCACGATTATTCTTTTATACAAGTTTCTATTATTTTTTAAATTTACGGATCAATTTTATACAAATTTCTATTCCATCTCTGCATAAGTTGTTTCTCACACAAATTTCTATCAATTTCTTTCAATTTATTCGATTTTCATAGGATCGCTATTTGCTCCAGATTTGAATAAATCTACTGTAAATGGTAAAATCATTTTTTGATCGATCGCAAAAAATTATTTTACACCAGTCCTTTAGATTTAATCCATGGCGATACAAAGAGATTTTAGTCGCAAAATAATTTTTTACCGATTGTATATTTTTTGCGGGACATTAAAGATTATTGTCTAAAATTATTTTACTCGCTAGAGCATTCTAGTCTTAAATATTCTAGTCTTAAAAATGGGACCTTGGTAAACTGGGTTATCGAGTCCTGGATTGTCAACGCGACAATCCTTACGTTCGATCGATTGTCCCGAATGTTGTATACCTAGCGCGCGTTTTTCACCGCGCCGTGTTTCAGATCATAGACGGCAATACAAAGACCGAGGTGAGCAATCGCAAGGATCCGGGCGTTTACTGTGGGGAGTCCGAACAACCGCAGACCTTCATTAGCGAGACCAGCTTTGTACGGGTGATCTTTCACGCTGACAATTTCACCGATCAGACGTACTTTAGCTTCGACTCGCGTGCCGAACAGCAATTCGACGTGTACCTCAGATACGGTCAGCATCCCGAGCTTTATCCGAATCGTCGCGGCGAGATCATGCCTGGTAGCTACTGCGAGCGCGTGTTTAAGGATTGCCGACTGCAGACGTGTTACGTGCAGAGCCCGGCTTACCCAGGCATCTATCCGCGGGCGTTGCACTGCAAATATCGTCTAAACACCCGGCTGCCCTTTATCAAACTCTATATCGAGAACGAAGAGTTCAACATCGACGGTCAGCGATGCGAGAATATCATGACGTGCCCGATGCGACCGATTAGTTCCGGCTCGGAGCACTGCCCGTACGATTATATACGCGTGTATGACGGTAAAAATGAGAGTAGTCCGGTGATCGGCACGTTTTGTGGCATGGGCAAGTTCCCATATAGCATCATTGGCACCAGCGAGGATCTCTACGTGGAGTTTGTGTCGTCGCCGGCCGGACCGCTGCTAAACACCGGCTTTCACTTCAACGTGGGCAACTGGCCAGGTCACGTGGAGACCGCCGGCGTGAAGAACGGCAGCTGCGACTGGCTGCTGAACAGCGAGTCCCTCGTCAGCGGTAACGAGGGTATTTTCCTGTCGGTCGCGCACTGGTACCCACCGCACACCAGCTGCACTTACTTGCTACGCGGTCGACCCGGTGAGATCGCCCGTCTCTATTTTCCCAGCTTCCGGGTGAATCGTATCGAGTCGCCAATCCAACCGTACGACGGCGACTGCGGCGAGAGTTTGACACTCTACGACGCCGACTGGCCGGACGACGCGCGTATCATCAAGACCTTCTGCGACACGTTCAGCAAACCGATGGAGAAGCACGATTTCGTGTCGACGTCGAACGCGCTCTTCGTACGATTTGAGAGCAAGACCGGAAGCTACTCTGGTAGCTCGCTCTACTATTGGGCCCATTACGACTTCTTCAACGCTACGAGATTCGGTGAACCCGTAGGTGGCACCGAGTGCGACGAGATCTTCGCCTCGTGGAAGTTGCGATCGGGTCGGTTGCGATCGCCCCTCAACACTCTAGTTTACAAGAGACCCGGCGATCCGCCCGCCGATTTATTCTGCACCTATAGCTTCGTCACCGACAAGCGATTGTACGCGCGAGTAATCCTCGTGATCGAATCGATCAACTTCAAAGAACATTCGTACGCCCAGTGTGGTCACTGCTGGGACAATCGGGCGGACCGGGTGATCATTCGGGAGCCAAATCCTGACGGTATCAAGGGCCACTGCCTTTGCCGTTCCAACAACAACGGCACTCCGGCGCCCACGACCTCGCCGGCTGCCCCCCGGCCGCCCGTTCTTCGAGTGGTCTCCCGGGGTGAGAGATTGGACCTGAAGCTTTTCGTTGACGGCGCTCACGCGGCCTCGAGCTACTTCAAGTACCCGGCGCCGCTCTTCGAAGCGAGATACGAGTTCGCGCACAGTCCTCTATGCGGACCGGCCCTCTTGCCGGCCACCACCGATGGCGAAATCGAATTTCCGCATTACGAGGCTCTGGGATACGTTACGCCACCCCGGTCCATCAAGTGCATCTGGGAGTTACGGGTGAACCGCGAGCGCGATCTCTTTCTGCACTTCGACAAGATCAAATTCGCGTCGCGCTCCTGCGAGGACGGCAAGCTCGAGATTTTCCTGCCGGGCAACGTCGAGCCGTATCTCGGCATCTGCGGCGAGAACGTCAGCAATGTCAGAGAAATGATCATATCGGCGGCGCAAATCGCACCGTCGCCAATGGATCATCCGGTTCCGGGCGGTGCCGCGGCCGCGGACAACGGCGAGGAATCTCCCGCTGTGATCGTGCAGTTCACCGGATCCATGGCGCCGGCCAGGGCGGCCTTCAAGATCGCCTGGACCGAGCTCTATCATCTACCCAGGGACGGCTCCGGGGCCCTCAATACCGGAAAAATTCTCGAGGATTGCGGCTTCCAGTGTCCCGGCGACGCCGGATGCATCCCGACGAGATTACTGTGTAACGGCGTGGTCAATTGTCCCAATCGTGGGTTGCCTATACCGGGTATCCTCAACGGCACGCTCTACGAGCCGGATGACGAATCGATGGAGACGTGCGGCGGGCCCGTTAGCGGTAACGGGGGCGGATTTGCCGGGCCAGCCGGCTGGGCGGGCGCTGGCCTGGGTGCTGGTCTGGCCATTCTCATGGGTCTGGCGTGCATCATCGCCGTGTGCAGGCTCTGCAGACAAGAATCGCGCTCCAGGGACATACACGTACCCTACTAAGATCCTTTGGACGCGATCGATCCTCTGCGAGTATTCGTGCACGATCTACGGAAGAACATACAAGTCGAATTCATAGTCGTTTCTCGCGAGGAATCAACGTCATTTTTTTTTTTTTTTATACACGTACGCTCATGTTTATATATGCGTAGAATGTATAAATAAAAGAGAGAGCTTTATTCTCTCCTCGAGAAACGATTATAAATAGAAACGGTAAGAGGCATCTGTGTGACGTCGTAATTTTTTAGACGTCGCTTGGACGTCTTTGAGCAGATTGCATTAACTCGTCGACTCTTTCGATATTAAATTTGGTTAAATACATTTTTCCCCATTATATTGTAGGTAAAACTATAATCTCTAGAGAAGAATAACAAATCCATAAGACAAGCTTATTCAAGTTCCGTTGATGCAATCGTGTCTCAGGCTTCTATATTTTTCGGGAAATGTATTCAAAAGTGTTCTCTTTCTCGAGGTAATTCGCTGAGGCAAGAGAGATGATGCATTTACCAAATTCAGCGACAAATCCGATACACACATTACGCTTACAAATAATCTCTCCAATGTGATGCTTTCGGATTTAACAAACATCGAGTTTGCTCATTAATCGCGAAAGATTGAATCTTATCGCTCTGTTGCGGTAACTGTTCGCGTATTACTGTCAACGTGACGCTCCCCGATCGCTCACCCCCACGTCCGTCACATCATCAATCTTCTATTTACACACGTTTCGCGGAGCTAATGATCCATACAATATCCTCCCTTACAGACGCGACCAAGTTCTAACCGAAAGCTGTATTTGCCACTGCCGCATTGTATTCATCTTGTATTACCATCGCGTCTTCTTTACACACACTGCCATAAGCGTAAAACTTGATATGTAGTCCTCGTCTCAATCGTTCCCATAGAATCGTTCGCGTGCGAGAAATCTTAGATTCGTGACAATCGGATTATCTCTGATTATTGCTGATGTACGGATGGCGATATCTTTTCATTTCTAGCGATATAGCGAGAGATATCTATGGGATACAGATAGTATGAATGTTAATGAATTGTATTTGTATTATATCTCGTTCCTTTAATCTTTAATTATAAAGCATCATTATCGGTTATATAATTGAATTGAAATAATGAGTTTAAAATTATAGAAGGAATAGATTAGAGATTAAGTTAGATTAAGTTTTAAACGACTACAATTATTTTTCGATTAATTAATAATTATATAATATAATACATTAATTTTTTTATAATGAAAAAAAAAAAATTAATTACGCGTATCATATTATATCTTTTTGTAATTTTGTAATATCATTTATTGTAAAGGCGACGTGGGCTTTTATTTTCTCCGTCGCTGGCACAGACGCAAATCAGCGAACCGATCGTCGTAGATTTCGATTTCGAGATGTAGTTCTTAGCGGTTGCTCAAAGTTGTCCTGCTTCGTTAACTCTCTTTCTCTCTCTCTCTCTCTCTCTCGAGAGAGAGACAAAACCCTCTCTCTCGTCGCGCGCGCGAGTAAGATAGTATTAAATTGACTTAAGATACAGAAGAGAAACGGCGGGAACGACGGGAATCGATAAAATTCATCAGAGATTGTGACTTTTGACGGGTCGTGACACGCCTTGTCGATTTAACATCTTGAGATTCGGCGACTGTACATATATAACCAGTATAATATAATACGACCGTTGTGAGATATAATAATAATAATAATAATAATAATAATAATAATAATAATGATAATCACATACTTTATAGTCTCTTTAAAGAAGAAAGAAGAAGGAAAAAAAGTGAGAAAAATTACTATTTCTTTTCGCCGACTCGCAAGATGTCTGGACTCTATGACACCGAATGAGCGTGCCTACTAAATATGCAGCTATTATGATGCATGTGATCGTCGACAGTGCAAACAGTTTGTATATAATAAGGCGAAGAGAAGAAAGAAGAGGGAGAGGAGGTTTATAAAGCCGATCGCTTTCTAGAAATAACTGGTACGCTAAGAGATTAAAAGAAATATAAATAAATATAAAAGTAAACGAAGAGAGAGAGAGAGCGTTGGCGCGAGACATGTATCGCCGATTATTACAGCGATAAGGGGTAATTCCGTTAATCTGATATTCGTTGGTTGGCACTCCTCGAGGAAGGCGTCGTTATGATTAAAACAAGAAACAAATCTGGCCCGCCGCCTTAGAGAGGCTGCCGCGCTCTAGAGAATCGTGTTTGTTTGTATATAGGGAAATATTTATGTAGGTTTAGCGACAATCTCAATAGTGGATATACACGCACACACGCATATACAAACCCATACAGATTCATGCAGACACGCCCATACGACACGCACACGACCGAGCGACGTGCATCACGCGCGTGCATTATTAATAACGCAGCTATCTTTAATCGACGGTATAACGATCATCTTACTACGACATGTAATTGCGATAATAACACAATTATCATAATTACTATATTTTTTACTAATAAAGAGCATCCTTGGAGCCGAGGAAAGAGGTGGCTTTCTTTACGTCGGCGGACCCCCTTCGACAGATTTCAGGATTCGAACGAGAGCACGGATTCGATGCGATAAATTAAAAATGAGAAGGTCTCTGTTGCCCCTCCGTTCCCTTCTACCTTCCTTCCTCCCGGCCATTTCTTTCGTCGAGAGTAAAAATTATAAGGGAGAACGTTACGTTCAAGATTTACGAGTCCACTCGATGCTTAAACGCGGGCCAATTAGGCGAATTGGGCAGTTTTCGGCATCGTTACTCGATGATTTACGCGTACATAATAATTCATCGGTCGTCGTTTTAACGTCATTCGTAATTTCAGATACCTGTAACTTAATCTTTGCTCTTACGAAATTCTGTCGCAACGCGTATTCAGATTTTATTCTTCTTTTTGTTTCCTCATAGAGGAAGCTTTGTTTCCGTGACAAAATTTTTTTTCCAGTTTTCTATGTAAAATGTGTTTAGAATTTTCCAAAATGTCGAAAAATTATATTTCTAAAAAATATCTGTATATATGTATGTATGTATGGAATGTACATTGTACAATCTCTAACCTTCGCAATTTTTAGATATTGGATTAAATTTTTTTAAATGGATAGAGTATCATTGTGGATGGTTGATATTGAATTTAGTGAGAATCGGTGAAAGGGTTCATTTTTTATAAAATTTTAAATTTTTTGAGAAATGTCTGTACACGCTGTAATTTTTGCAAATTTTGAAATATCTTTTTTAGGAGGAAACCAAAATTGAAAAACCCGCTTGCTTTAAGGAGTTTAAGCTTTGTAAGCGAAATAAAATGATAAGAAAACAATATGCAAGTTTCTAATTTGCATACATGGGTGAACCGGAAAATATTTTCGCGATAAACTCTTCGGGACGAGACTTCTCGAGTCGACGATGCAAATAACGTTTTCTTTCGTAATACGCCCGTTGTAATTTTCTCTATTGTGCTTTGTTTCGCGGCAAAACTCGAGACAAAAGAACACGCGATAATAACCATGCTGGACCTCTTCGCACCTATTAAATGCCTTCTGCAAGAAGAATCCGTTCGCGTTGACAATGTAGTCTTCAGGCTGCACTCGCGTTTCACCGTTCTTCTGCTGCTCGTTTGCACCATTCTCGTAACTGCCAAGCAATATATCGGTGAACCGATTTCTTGTATGACCGATGGTTCTATCGGTACGAAATTCTGCTAACCTCTAGAGCTTTGCGTGTGTATATATTTAAAATTTCGAAATTTTTTTTCGTTACAAGAAGGGTGCAAAAATGAAATATCACGTAAAGATATAGTGCATGCTTAAAAATGTTTTTCCAGATATCTATTTCGAATTATTTTACGTCGTTGCATCGGTCAGAATTATTTCTTATCGATAATAGATATCTTTTCCTAGCAGACAAAGATCCTGTAAATGCGTATTGCTGGATCTATAGTACGTTCACGGTATCCCGACACCTGAAGGGTATTCCTGGACGAGGTGTAGCGAGTGCTGGCGTAGGACAGGCTCTTCCAGATGACGAGGCCCGTCATCATCGATATTATCAGTGGGTCAGTTGAATATAGAACGCTTACGATATAGATGAAGAGATAATATATGTATATGGATCGAGATTATCGATAAATAGGTCCATTGATAGGAGACAAATTAAAAGTCCTACATATCGAAAGATATACGTACGTCGACAAATTATCAATTTTTTTTATGTCATATGTATCTCTCTCTCTCTCTCTCTCTCTCTCTTTCTCTGCCGCGGTTTAAGTATATTTTTATCAATTTTACAAAATTTTTCAAATTAAGCTTCTTCAAAAGCTCTAAGCCAAATTTTGAAAAATCAAAGTATCCTAAATTTAATCGAAACAAAGTCTCTTTATCCATTTCATATACTCTCAAAGCTAAAAGCTCACAAACGTCTTTATATTGAATACGAAATATCTCTGTTAGACACTTTTCCGGGGAATTTGCCGAGGAAAAGATCGACCTCGAAATTCGTCAAAGAAATCCTTAAATTGTTTTTCGATGGGAGCACTCTGAAAAATTGAACGAGCGAGAGAAACGCACACACGTGCGCCCGCGTGAGCTCGAATCGGTCGATCGCATAAGTTTTCGTATCGAGTGTACACACACATACATACATACACCGACTCGTACGCGAGATGCATGATAACGATTGCACTTCATTCCGATGGTCAGGGCGCTCCCGGCTCTCGGCGCATGCAAACGTATTGCATGGGCGTGAATGAAATCTGAAAGGTGAACGCGTGAATGCGAAGGAAACATCCGGAGAACGGAAGGCGGCATAAGAGGAAATGGAAATAGAGATCGCAGATCTGCCGTTATCCGCGTCACTTTGTATATCGCGCGATCCGCATCGTGAATATCGCGCGAAAAGTAAAAACACACTTATATCTTTCGAATAAAGGAACAACAAAAATTTTATATTAGATAAAAATATCTCCTCTTTTCTCGCTTTTCCTTTCTCGTAAAAGAGAAAATAATTCTAGAGAATAATATGCTTATATATAAATATTTTTATAATCTTTTTTGATATTCTAGATCATTTCGTGACAATACATAACTTGGGATAAAAATTTAACTTGGGATAAAACAAAAATTGTAGAAGTAAGAATTTTTTTTTTTCAATATTCGATAGGTCTGCTTCGTTCTCGGCTTACAAGCGATGCTTTTTTATATGCCACGCGCTTTATGGGGCATCTGGGAGAGAGGCACCATAGGCCTTCTTTCGCGAGATCTCGCCTCTCCCTTTCTGAGAGATGTTTGGACCGAGGAGAGGAAGCAACGACTCGTCGAGTATTTTACCAAGACAAATCTACACAGTCACAACTTTTACGCTATACGTTTCTTCGTGTGCGAGATCTTGAACTTTTTAAATTCGGTAAGTACAAGTTCGGTAAGTACGTTTTCCTCGTGTTAGCTCTGCGAAGGTACTTAAGGATTCTCCATCAATCGACCGGCGCATTGTGACGTCAGAAACAGGAAATTGCGCGGAAATAAATTCGAATAATTAATTCCTGGGTTCGATCCTTTTATTAAATGCAATCGAAACATCTGCCGCGCGAACCCCGATGTATCGCGCATAGAAAAATACATTGTTGAGAGCTTTTAACGCATTAAAAAAATACAACCGCTTTATCGCGGTATTTATAAACTTGTAATGGCAAAAATCAATATCGTCTTCAAATTCACCGGCAGTCGTATATTTAAAAAATCGTATATTTTATTCATATATATATATATCATATTCATTAATAGATAGGACAGATATATCTGTTGGACGTATTTCTGGAAGGACAGTTTAGACGATACGGGCCCTCGGTGAGCGCATTCGTCACAGAGGAGAATCCTTACGACAGGGTCGATCCCATGGCGCGACTGTTTCCGAAGATGACGAAATGCACGATTCACACCTTCGGGCCGGCGGGTTCCGTGCAAACTCACGACGCACTTTGCGTGCTCCCGTTAAATGTGGTGAACGAGAAAATTTTCGTCGTTCTTTGGTTCTGGCTGGTATTTCTCGCGGGCGTCGGTTGCTTGGCGTTAATCTATAGGTACGTAAGTTTGGTCGACATCTGCGCGGAACAGACGATATGTCGGCGATATGTCATTACGATTTATTCGAGTCGCGAGTTTGCATTATATTTTTAAAAAGGAAACGCGATATAAATCATATAAATTGTGTATAACTCATACTTTTCATTCGCACAATTATTATTGGATCGATATGTCGCGCGATTAATATATTTCTTTTTCTAGAATCGTAGTTTTCTCTCAATCCTGGGCGAGAGTGTACCTTCTGCGAGGTGCGGTTCGCGTACTCGAGAAATCTAAGGCTGAGCGTGTTGTACGAGTACTCCACTTCGGTGATTGGTTCCTCTTGCATCAACTTGCGCAAAACGTCAATCCCATCGTGTACAGGGAGCTGGTTAATGAGATAGCGAAAGCCTTTGCGACCAAGAGTTTTACGGACTTTGTTTAAATCTCTTCGGTCTGATTTAAGTAGTATTACACGGAATTCGATTTACAAAACTAAAAACAATGTCCTTAAAAAAATATTACACACACACACACACACACACACACACACACACACATTCTGATAAATATCTCGCAATAAAAAATGAGAAATATTTAAGAGAACTGTGTAATTGGTTGATTTCAATAAAGACAAGTTATTAAAGAGAAATAAAGGTTACTAAAGATGATTAAAAAATTCTAAATTTATTAAAGTATTTAAATTAATAAGATTTTTGATGAAAGAGATCTAAGAGAGAGCGTTCGAATTTCCTCTCGACATCCTATATTGAAATCGACGAAATGAGGGCGATGAGGGCGGATACGGCGGTATGAGTCTTTTGTTCATTAACGGCGCATTCAATTGTCTCCCGAAACAGAAGCGGAACCGAGACACGCTCCTCTCGTCGTGTATCCATGGGAACGCGAGTTGCACCTCAGCCAAATTACGCGAGTTACGATTCTTAGGGTTAGGGATTTCGTCGGAATTCTAACGAATCTTGTCGCGTCGAAGATCTCTTGGCGCTTTATCTCCCAGTTCTCGCGTTCTCGCGTCACATCGTATACCGGAATACGCGAGCATTCGCATTTCCAAGGTAACGGAAACAGACGACGACCAGTCTTCATCTCGAACTTGTCGTAGCGAAGAGAAGATTTCGCAAAGTCAAAGCTAAAAGCTAGCAAACATGCGCGAGATAGCACATCTCCAGGCCGGCCAATGCGGCAATCAGATTGGAGCCAAGGTACGTTTCGATCCTTTGAATAATTTCCAGATAAAAGAGTAACCGCCATCAGTTTAATGCGTAAAAATACCACTCAAATATTTCTAAATAAATACATATATTTTGTGGCTAATAAAATTTAACAAGATTAATCAGAGATAAAAATGTATTGTTCGTGACACGCTAAAATAAGAGAAAACTATCCTATCCTAGCGCGATACATTTTTAAATGTATGTAATATCCGA